ACAACAAATTTTTATAAATAATAAGACAGATTACAAAATCATTAAAATATTATTTGTTTAAATTCAATACATTTGAAATTTTTATAGTCTGCTATATTAGCCTGCTATTATTATTTATTATTTTATATTTATACTTTTAATAAACAGGGCAGGGGCCACAAAATGTAAGTCATGCAAATGGTTAAGCATTTCAAGTGGAGCTGATATTATTAATATTATCAGCCTACTGATTATTAACAAATCAAAAATATTGTACATGAGTTTAAAACTCTTGAGAAAATAATTTCACATTTGAAAATTCAATATATGGTCAGTGTTTTTATTTCCTTTCGCTTTATTCGTAGTAAACATACATGTGAATAATGAAACAAAACAGAAAATAGTTTTCACTGGAGAGAGAGAGAGAGAGAGAGAGAGAAAGGAAGGGGAAGATAAGGAGAAATCGGTGAATGAACAGTTTGAAGGACACTTGTCTGGTTTTATAGTTTCTCCTTCTTTATGTTCATGTTTATTTTAAAACCAAAAGAATCAAGGTCCTCACTCTTTTACAGTGAAAATCTGTTGCTTGGCAACACTTCGTTTAAAATACCTGAGCAGGACAAGACTGAGGATAGTAATGGTCATCTGAAGCTCAAACTCAACTAACTTTGTTTATGATTCATACCACTTGTAAACAATATATTGTGATAAAGTGGGATCTTATCTGCTGAGCCCTTTGTGGCCAAATTGTTCTATTTTCATCCCTATGTGCTTTGATCATTCGTCTGTGACATCATGACCTACCTCATTGATTCATAACATGAATGCATTTTGATGTAGTTAAGAGCTTATTTCGACTGGTTTCATACACTTTTAAAAACAAAGGTACTTTATTGGCATCCATGGATTTCATTAAGAACCATCATCCATGAACATCCATGAAATCTTTCCATTGCATTGAAGTTTTTTTATATATATTGAAGAAAAAAGAATGTTCTTTAGATTTTTTAAATTTTCTTCTTTTTACGAAAATAAAATCGTTATGTTAAAAAATAAATAAATAAATCCACCAAAAATGAAAATTTGTCACAATAATCCACAAGTAATCCAAACTACTCCAGTCCATCAATTAATGTCTGGTGAAAAGCTGTGTTTGTAATAAACAAATTCACCATTAAGGCGATTTAACTTTAAACTGTCGCAATATACCAGTCCATAATCCATGATAACTCTTCCTCCAGTGAAAAAGTCCATCCCTTGTTGTCAACATCCATTTGTTTAGAACTGTTTTAGACTTTATTCATTTGTAAACGGTGCTTGTTCTGTGCATATTTCTCTCCTGATTCAGATAAGACAACTTTTTCACTGCAGAAAGCAATATTATGGATAGAGGACTCATATTTTAGCCGGAAGCAAAGTTAAAAACTTGATGAATTTCTAATGTCTTTCTTGTGGGTTATTGAGAAGTTTCTTTTTATCAGCTGTTCTTTTATCAGAACTCTCATTCTGACGGCACCCATTCACTCCAGAGGATCCATTGGTGAGCAAATGATATAATACTGAATTTCTCCAAATCTGTTCATCCTATGTAGTATCTGACTGCCATTATACTGTCTTTTCCCCCTTTTTATGTCCAGCCTGTGCAATTATGGCAATTACTGATAAAATAACAAAGCCTTTAGGAGGCTGGATGATAGGAACAAGGACCGAGGGGACAGACTGTTGGACAGCCACAGCATTTGACGTCGTTCAGAACATATGGTATCAATATTGATGAAAAGTTTTGCTGGATGATATGGACCTGGCCCCTGGGAGACAGATCTCTGCAGAGAGGGAACTGTCACCCTACCCCTTGAGCTCCCACTGGACTTTTTTGTTTATTACGTGGGTGGCACGGCCATCTGCTGAAATCAGAAAGATAGGGGATGGGATTTCTTGGAAAAAATGTGTAATGCTCATAATCTGTTCACATGTACGTCTTTTTAATATGCATTGAACTTTGGTCATGTTCGAAGAAAGGAATGAACACTTGGGTAATTATCTCACATTGAATCCCGAACATGATGAAATAGTAGCTTTCCAGGAAAAATCTAAATTCAGCTCAGATGGCTGGTCTTCTTGGCTTATGTTGTGTATGGCACAAAAAAACCCATCATAATTTGTACTCCATATTCTGGACAATATGGATAACTTTGTGGCTACAGAATTGTTACCTTTGTGATCAAATGTTAGTTTTGGTAAAGAAATGAACAATAAGTTTCACTTGTAGTATCCCTGTCTTTTCTACACATATTCTTTTTTTATTTGGGGGTTTATACTAGAAGCTGATACTTGACCATCTCTGTATCTCTGCACCCATGGCAACGGAGCTGCAGTATCTTAGTAACAAAATTTGCGCATTGCAAGAGATGAAAAATGATGGTTGTTCTCAAGCACACCACCAACTTGAACCCAACAGAAGAAGTCATAACATTTAACCTCTATCCCAATGAAGTGACATTTATTAATATCCTAAAACCAAAAGTAACCATCCACCATTTTGTGAAGAAAACTAAGAATGGAAACTCACTTGTCATTGCTTTCACACTTTTAGAGCACATTAAATCACTTGGAAGGTCACGTTGCCTGATTCTTTCTGGTTTGAAGAAACATTTTTCACTTTGTCATCTTCTTGAAAATTGTAAACCTGATCTGTTTGGGATGGAATGAGTTCATGTTACCAACAAAAAAAGTTAAATATTAAAAAAAGTTAATATTTCAAATTTCAGGACAATTAAGAGTGTACATGTATTGTTTCAGTCATTCATGGTGATCAGAGAATAATATGTTTTAATGGCCTGATTGTGACGTGTATTTGAGTGGGAGGACAGGAAAATTACTCTCCTTATAACCCAGTGTAGCATTACCCTTCTAAACCACAAAAATAGCTCCAACGCCTCCATTTTCCTCTCTGCTAATGAAAAGAACTAACCTTGTTTATTTTTAGAGAAAATTCAACTATGTATAGACAGGCATATAAACATTTGTTTAATTTTAAACAAATGCAAATGTTAACCTAACATATATACATTTGATTTTTGTTGAAAGCGATCACAGTCACAACAAAACAAATTAAAAAAGGCTTATACTGAATGAATAGTTCACACAAAAATGAAAATTCTGTCATCATTTACTCATCCTGATGTCGTGCCAAACCTGTATGCACATCTTACTTCTGCTGAACACAACAGAAGATATTTTAAAGAATGTTGAAAAGAGTTTGGGTACCCATTGACGCCCATTTGTATTTTTTGTCCATACAGTGGAAGTCAATGGAAACCAAAGCCGCTTAGTTACCAACATTCTTCAAAATTTCACACAAAGAAAGCCTAAGTCTTAAAGTCTCAGAAAACCAAAGAATGTAAAATATTACAGCATCATCTGATATGCTTGTCAGTGTGTTCAGCTACTCCAGTCACACCTACATCCATCTGCTGCACTGCCCACAAGCCCTCTGTGCCAACACTGACCATCAATGAGCTCATCACTTCCCTGCTGGAGCTACACTAGGCTAAATTCACACTTATCATCTTTTATTCAGAAAGTATGCATTAAATTGATCAGAATTGACAGTAAAGACAGTAATGTTGCAAAATCATTTTTTTCATCAACGGTTTCTTTTCATCAAATAATCTTAAATTTACAAATTTCACAGAATTTTCCACATGGTTTTCACATAAGTATTAAGCAGCACAGCTGTTTTCAACGTTGATAATAATAAGAAATGTTTCTTGAGCACCAAATTAACATTAGAATGCTTTCTGAAGCAAATATGTTTTAATGGCCTGATTGTGACGTGTATTTGAGTGGGAGGACAGGAAAATTACTCTCCTTATAACCCAGTGTAGCATTACCCTTCTAAACCACAAAAATAGCTCCAACGCCTCCATTTTCCTCTCTGCTAATGAAAAGAACTAACCTTGTTTATTTTTAGAGAAAATTCAACTATGTATAGACAGGCATATAAACATTTGTTTAATTTTAAACAAATGCAAATGTTAACCTAACATATATACATTTGATTTTTGTTGAAAGCGATCACAGTCACAACAAAACAAATTAAAAAAGGCTTATACTGAATGAATAGTTCACACAAAAATGAAAATTCTGTCATCATTTACTCATCCTGATGTCGTGCCAAACCTGTATGCACATCTTACTTCTGCTGAACACAACAGAAGATATTTTAAAGAATGTTGAAAAGAGTTTGGGTACCCATTGACGCCCATTTGTATTTTTTGTCCATACAGTGGAAGTCAATGGAAACCAAAGCCGCTTAGTTACCAACATTCTTCAAAATTTCACACAAAGAAAGCCTAAGTCTTAAAGTCTCAGAAAACCAAAGAATGTAAAATATTACAGCATCATCTGATATGCTTGTCAGTGTGTTCAGCTACTCCAGTCACACCTACATCCATCTGCTGCACTGCCCACAAGCCCTCTGTGCCAACACTGACCATCAATGAGCTCATCACTTCCCTGCTGGAGCTACACTAGGCTAAATTCACACTTATCATTTGACAATACACTACATGCCGTTATAATTAACACACAGATCCTTTCACACACATAGCAGTAATAAATCAGACGCTGACTCAAACAGAACTTCCTATTCGTTTTTTTTTCCAAAACAAGGCTGAGATGACAAATTACTCTCCTTATAACCCAGTGTAGCATTACCCTTCTAAACCACAAAAATAGCTCCAACGCCTCCATTTTCCTCTCTGCTAATGAAAAGAACTAACCTTGTTTATTTTTAGAGAAAATTCAACTATGTATAGACAGGCATATAAACATTTGTTTAATTTTAAACAAATGCAAATGTTAACCTAACATATATACATTTGATTTTTGTTGAAAGCGATCACAGTCACAACAAAACAAATTAAAAAAGGCTTATACTGAATGAATAGTTCACACAAAAATGAAAATTCTGTCATCATTTACTCATCCTGATGTCGTGCCAAACCTGTATGCACATCTTACTTCTGCTGAACACAACAGAAGATATTTTAAAGAATGTTGAAAAGAGTTTGGGTACCCATTGACGCCCATTTGTATTTTTTGTCCATACAGTGGAAGTCAATGGAAACCAAAGCCGCTTAGTTACCAACATTCTTCAAAATTTCACACAAAGAAAGCCTAAGTCTTAAAGTCTCAGAAAACCAAAGAATGTAAAATATTACAGCATCATCTGATATGCTTGTCAGTGTGTTCAGCTACTCCAGTCACACCTACATCCATCTGCTGCACTGCCCACAAGCCCTCTGTGCCAACACTGACCATCAATGAGCTCATCACTTCCCTGCTGGAGCTACACTAGGCTAAATTCACACTTATCATTTGACAATACACTACATGCCGTTATAATTAACACACAGATCCTTTCACACACATAGCAGTAATAAATCAGACGCTGACTCAAACAGAACTTCCTACTTGTTTTGCCATTGTTCTAAATCAAGTGAGATGACCAGTCCGTTGATGAAATAATGTTAATGAATGGCCTGCAAAAACACAAGCCTTTTTGGTACACTATAATTAGCATTTAAAGGTATCAGTTTTCATATTGTAGTCACTCTGTTACTTTTTATTAATTAACTTCTTCCTGTCTTTACTTTTTGTCAATGAAGTAAATTTAAATGAGTCAAATTTAAATCTACAGGACAACTTTAAAGCTTGTAGTAAACGCGTAGGATTTCTAAAATGAAAAATGATTGTTATTAGGTACAGTAGTTCCAAAGTACAGTGGCCCTAAAATAACAACCAAAAAATTATATAAATGTGACATTTATTTTGGTCAACTTTGACCCTTAAACGTGATTGTAATAATGGTCCTTTCAGCTAATAGCAAAAAAGGTAAAACTCAGCATGTGTGCACAGGTGTTACACTGTCACCATGTGGAGACACCTGAGCATTTCATTTATACTTACTATAAACACTCACAATCAAGAGAAATTTTAACCAAATTATTAGCATGTACACCAAACTGGATGTTTTTTTTAGCCTACAGACAAGAAAGGAAAAATAAAGAAGAAGAAGATCATAAAAAAAACAAAGATGTGAAGGGAGGATCAGAATTGCTTTTCTTTAATGTATTACATTTACACAGTACTTTTTTACTTTAACAATGAAATTATGCAAAAAAATAAAAAATAAAAAGATTTTTGTATAATCTTGTAGTCGGAGTAAACAAGCAGAAGTACAGAATTCAATAAGCATTAGAGAAAATGCAACAATTTACGTAAAATTGGTTTCACAAATTTTTTAAATAAAAATTAGTTCTCATTTAAGGCTTATAGAAACCTGGATTTTTCTTTAGTTTGTTAGTGTTTTCTGAAATTTCCCAGTATTACACTAGATAAATGTAGTTACAAAAGTGCTTTGGAATGTGTATTGTATGTAGGTTCGATAATTCTTCCTATTTTTTTTGTTTTGTTAGCTAATACTAATAACAAATTATATCTTGACGTTTCTTTCTGAAATATCTGCTGCAGATATGTGTGTGTTTTCTGTGTGTGTGCTTGTATGCTGCATGTATGTGTGAGAATGAGTCCACGATGACAAAGTGAGAGGAATGAATGTTCAGATGCTTTAGCGCTTCCCAGAATAGGCCTGCAGTCAGCCTCAAAAAAAGATCATTTCGCATCATTAGGTGGTGATTTGTGGAACTGTGTTGCCAATTTTCAACACACAAAAGCAGAAATAGACTGAATAAAGATATTCTTGTATATACTGTATTCATACAGTGTTTTCCCTATGTTTGTCTCTCCATCTCTCTCTCCTCAGAAAGCATGAGGCCATAGAAAACAATTGTTAAAATTGTAATAATATTTCACAATATTACTGTTTTACTGTATTATGATCAAATAAATGCCCAGGCGACCATAAGAGACTTCTTTCAAAAACATGATCCAAATGAACCCAAATGAATGATAGTGTAATAATAAAGAGAGAATGCAATTTTCACCAGTATTTACTCTAGCACACATAAGTTATGAAACTGATGTTTAAAGGGTGTTGTGTGTCTCTGACTAACCCGTATGTAGAATTCTTCATTTTCATCTCCAGAACGAATGCGGAAGGAGTTGTAGGCTCCAGGATAGACGCTGGTGGCCTGGATCTGGAAGATGTCAGAGGGAACCGAGCGTTCGGAGGTGATGCTCATGTATCGATGCACAATGGAGAAGGGCAGGTCACGACACTCTGGCTTCACCACTGGACATATACAATGACTGGACAGAAAGAAAGTGACACAAGGAAAAAGGGAGAGGGGTGTTAAATAATAAAAAGTGCCAAAATATGATTTTGAGTCAATTATGAGTTGCCTTTACACAAATCGAAATGGCTCACTTCTCTGAGACCTGGACGTAGGGGTCCTGGCAGCGGTTGGAGTTGACACACTGATGTCCACCATGGATGTTCACACAGACCTGTCCCTCCCCACACTGATGAGTGCCTGTCTCACACTCATTCACATCTACACACAGAATTGTTATGACAAACTCAAACCAAGTGAAATGTGATTGTAAGAGTCAAGTGTAAAAAACAGGGATTTTGTTTCAATACCCTGGCAACAACATAAACAGAGAGACGCAGAACAGAGCTGGTCTGGTAGTTCATGAGAGGATTGACAGACACCATCTCCAGATCGAGGACGTACTCCTTCGGTCCAGTCACTGCTCTGGCCAAAACCAACATGGCACTGATGTTGTTGATTTGCTGCGAACAAGAAATGACAAAAATAAATGAGTCAAAAAGTATGAGACCACATTGCAATTCTGAGATTTTTCATTTAAACACAAACTGAAAGTTTTGCGATTTTCAAAGCTTAAAACCTAGCTTCAAACAAAGAAGTGAACATGTTAAATAGGACAAAAATATTAAAGATTCTGCACTATTTTATATCACTAACCAATATAAACAAATATGAAATGGCTCACTTCTCTGAGACCTGGACGTAGGGGTCCTGGCAGCGGTTGGAGTTGACACACTGATGTCCACCATGGATGTTCACACAGACCTGTCCCTCCCCACACTGATGAGTGCCTGTCTCACACTCATTCACATCTACACACAGAATTGTTATGACAAACTCAAACCAAGTGAAATGTGATTGTAAGAGTCAAGTGTAAAAAACAGGGATTTTGTTTCAATACCCTGGCAGAGTCGTGTTCCTACTAGCTCGTAACCTTCTGGACAAACACAGGAGAATCTTCCAGGCTCGTTCACACACTGAAACTGGCACAGGAAACTGGAATAGCTGCACTCATCAATATCTGGGAGGAGAGAAAGAAAACCAGTTACATTCAGGCCATCATCAATTGGTCTAAAACTATTAGGGTAATGTCTTACGCACTAACCATTGCATGAGAAGCCATCGGGTCCCAGGTCATAGCCTTGATCACAGCGACACAGGAACGTACCATAACTGTTGTAACATCTTTGTTGACAAGGTGCTCCCATCTCACACTCATTTACATCTGATGACAAAGAACAGAGATGTTAGAAGCGTATGTACTGAAAAAAAATCTTAAAACTTTGCATTAAAGCAAAGTTCACCCAAAAATAATAAAACAATTGCATGTGCAGTGTTCTGGGAAGGTTAGTTTATGGTGCTAAAAATAAAACATTATATATGTTCTCTTTAGGTTGTCACAAAAAACTCCCTGCAACGTTCATGGTTATAAAATACACCCTAAAAATAAACATTAGAGAATGTTCTGTTTAGGTTCTCTTTAGTTTGTCAAAAAAAAAAAAAACCTGTACATTTCTGGAAAGGTTAGTTTATGGTTAAATAAAATAAATCCTAAAAATAACTAATAGATAATATTATGTATAGGTTGTCTATAGGTTGTTAAAGAAAATCCCGGTAATGTTCTGGGAAGGTTAGTTATTGGTTTAAAAAAAAAAAAAAAACTACAGAGAATGTTCCTAGATTATAATTCACAAAATATGCTAAAGTTAGGGGAAGGAGCCATGTTTGCTAGGACTGTCATGCCATTTCAAACCTGTATAACTTTCTTTCTTCTAGGAAAGACAAAAGGAGAAACTTTGACGTATGTTCATGCTGCTATTTCCATACAACAAGTGAATAGGTACATGTGCTGCTGTACATGTGTACAACAATACATATGTGTGCTACATTCCAAAATATTCTGAAGTTATACAATATTATTTGGTTAGAGAAACTAATAGACTTAATTTAAACCGTTATTTGCCCTCAAATTTCACAAATGTTAAATATATGTATGGGCGTCAATGAAAACAAACATCACCAACAAACAAAACCGATCTGCACTGACATCAAACATGGCATGTTCCTCATACAAAGCTATCACATAGAGCACAAATCATATGAACTACTTTTATGCTAATTTTATGCTATGTTTCTGTTATTTTTAGAGTTCAAGAGACCCAACCCCATTCATTTTTCATATCCTTTCTTGCTCCATGGAATAAAGAAAATGACCCGGTTTTGAAAAAAAAAAAAAAAAGACAGAATTTTTATGTTTGAGTTTTGATTAAGCTGTCAAACTACAATAATTATATTAGTGTGTAAGGAAGATTTGATCGCTGGAAAATGTATCTGCTTTAAGGACTTACCAACACAGGATCTGTTGTTTCCCGCCAATTGGAAGCCAGGCTCACATTCACAAGAGAAAGATCCTGGCATGTTCACGCAGCGATGCTGACAGTACCTGTACCTGCACTCGTCGATATCTAACAGATGAGAGGAAATACTTACTGTAGACTGCAGAACAGAAAAGATGCATCCATATCTTAAAGACAGATGTTAAGACACATCATTTCTTCTCTTACCCACACACTCTATGCCAATCTTGCTGTAGCCGTCAGGGCACTGACAGGTGTAGGTACCCACAGTGTTGATGCATTCCTGGCTGGGCTGACAGTCATGCATGTCCAATTCACACTCATCAATGTCTGTCCAAAGCATGATGAAGAGCTTCAGGACATCATTCTCATGCACAAACACAATATAAAACCATATGAACAGACTTTCCCTACATTTGGCCTTAAATAACTCACCCACGCAGGTATCTCCTTGAGCCCTGTAGCCTACAGGACAGGGGTTAAAGGCCTCGTTACGCTCCACATGAACACTGGGCTCTGATTGGCTGGAGGGCTCAGGTGCAGTGATCACGGAGGCAGAGTGAGGAAGGCACAGGTAACCACCATAATGATTAAAGCATTTCATCTCTCCCTGACAAGCCTGCTGTATAGTCTCACACTCGTTTATGTCTAAGTAAAACAGAGAACAGAATTTAGCTTTACAAGTAATTTGTATGTCCTTTTTATTTTTATTTTTTTTATTAAATACTAGACATATGAAACAAATATACAAACATACATACTGTATAAACAACTAAGAAACAGAAAAAAGAACAGCAGTTCTTTTTTTAACTTTCAATTATCTTTCACTCTTTAGCAACTCAAATTGTATCATCTTTTGTTATCTATACTTCTATCAATACTTAAAGGGATAGTTCACCCAAAAATGAAAAATTCTGTTTACTCGCATTTACATTAACTCACACTCATGTCATTCAAAACTTAAATGACTTTCTTTCTTCTGTGGAACATAAAAGAAGACATTTGAGAAATATCTTAGATTAAATTTTTTTTATAACCAAAACTGTTCAGTTACCAACACTCTTTAAAATATCTTTTGTGTTCCACAGAAGTCGTACAGGAGTGGAACAACATGAGAGTGAATACATGATAACAGAATTTTCATTTTTGAGTGAACTATCCCTTTAAGAAAGCCAATAAATTCAAAAAGAAAATCAACCATAAGGAACAATCTACATATGAAATATATATACAGTGACATGCAAAAGTTTGGGAACCCCTTGCAGAATCTGTGAAAATGTGAATAATTTTAACAAAATAAGAGAGATCATACAAAATGCATGTTATTTTTTATTTAGTACTGTCCTGAGTAAGATATTTTACATAAAATATGTTTACATATAGTCCATAAGACCAAAAAATTGCTGAAATTATAAAAATAACCCCCTTCAAAAGTTTGGGAACCCTTGGTTCTTGTGTGGTTACCTGGATGATCTACCACTGTTTTTTGTTTTGTGATGGTTGTTCATGAGTCCCTTGTTTGTTCTGAACAGTTAAACTGAGCACTGTTCCTCAGAAAAATCATCCAGGTCCTGCAGATTCTTCAGTTTTCCAGCATCTTTTGCATATTTGAACCCTTTCCAGCAGTGACTGTATGATTTTGAGATCCATCTTTTCACACTGAGGACAATTGAGGGACTCAAACACAACTATTAAAAAA